ATTTAATTATAAAAACTAGTATAAAAGTCTTAGAAAAAAATATTACTTTTAGGAATGTCTAAATAATAGAATAACAAAATTTTAAAGAATCTAATTATTCTCCGCCCTCTTTTGTAAGTAGACAATGCATGCCTCCTCAAAACATTTCTTAGAAAAAATATGTACTTAATATTAGAAACACAACAAATAAGAGAATAATGAGTATTTATATATGACCCTATTATTTTTCTACAATTTGCCAGTAAAGTGTGGTCCTTAATGCCGCCCTGAGTGAGGAATCCCAGCATTTTACAATGGGGAACTAGCTGTTACATCCCCGTCTTTGTTAGTTTTACAACTACAGTAGGAAAGTGACAGAGTCATAAAAACCGATCGCCGTGTGGAAGACTATAATCTTTTCCAGAATTTTAATTTGTTTCTTTGTATAATATCAAGCCTTCTGATTTTTACCGTATCAACTTCTAACTATACATTTTCTTTGTTTCTTCAATCGACAATATTGACGATAAATTTATTTTAATTTATTTTTCTAACTGATTGATGTCTTAACAAAAGCTTATTTTATTCTGTCTCTAGTCATGCCAGATGAAGATCGTATAGTTCAATCGAAACATATGTAGCACCGAATATAAAAATTTAATACTTTTTCATCGTCTCTAAGATTTTTTATTTTATTATTTTGAAGGAGTATACTGCCAGACACCTCGAATTAAGCAAGTTTACAGCCTGGGTACGTACTGTACTGTATTCCAGGCGGAAGTATTTGCTATTGACATGGGTGCTAAAATCGTTCTTGAGAGAGGGGTGAAGAACATGACAGTACGAATTTTCTTTCAGCTTTGGTTAATGATTTTAAGAGAACATTAAATACACTGAGTTGTGATAACAGAGTTTCTCTGATCTGGTTCCTAAGTCACTCTGGGGTTGCTGACAATAAAGCGCCAGATGAGCTAGCACGAGAGGGCAGCGCTAAAGCATTTGTGGGGCCAGAACCAGCAGTTGGTGTATCAGTTGCGATGACCAAACATAGGATTGGACTGTGGGATGAAGAAAGACTTCGCCTGCTGTGGACCAGTTCTCCTGGAGTGAGTCATGCTAAGGTGTTTATTAACATCGTCACTGTCAAACCCGGGAACTTTTTAGGACTTGCTCGTAGCAGCATAAAAGTTCTAATGGGTGTCGTTACTGGGCATTGCCGATTAAAAGCACACCTCAACTTGTTGGGTTTAACCGACGATGTTGAATGCCGACTATGTGCGGAGGAAGCCGAGATGGTTGAGCATGTTTTATTCCACTGGCATCTATCATAATCGTTAAAGTGCTCCGATATCTATTAGTCAGAAAACCCCTACACTATGGTTTCAAATATTTAGGATTTTGAAAACACGGTGTATTTAACTAAATATAGATACGGCTGATTATAGAAAAACAGCCTATTTCTGGGGAGTCTGCTTACACTAATAAGATAACATAATCTTGTTACAATAATAAAAATTGTTTTCCATGCTCCTAAACTGGTGACACGTTTTGGTATGTTTCTTCTTGATTTTAGAAGAAGTGTTCGAGAGGTTATTCTTATTTCGGCGATATTATTCATTAATACAAGAAGAGGAAGTATCGGAACTGCTGCACTATAAAAAACGAATAGCCCATACTCGATTACTAAAAAGATATGGATTTTTATTTAATGGTTTATCCACATATGTATTATATGTATAGTGTTACCAAGATCCACAAAAGCGTCACAGAAATAAGTTGAACTTATCGGTTTCAATGCGTATTCTTCTTCCCATTGGGGTATATCGACCTTCACAATACCTCGTCTTAACGTTAATTGTTCAAGTATACGTCTATGTAAATTTTTAAAACCTTCGATTAAGCTTCTATAATAGGAATAAAAATTAAATTAAAAAATATTAAGTAAGAAAAGTAAGGGACACTTACGACATGAGATAACCATTCAAGAAAAACAACAAAATATATTCTTTCATAATGTTAAAAGAGATGCTCATAAATAGACCAAGATAACAACCCATTCCCGGTGGGCAAAGAGCTGCACCAATGCCGTACAATCTATTATAAATCACGTAATCTCCTGGATTTGTAAACATAGATTCTTTGATAAAAGAATTGTAAAACGACATTAGATAAGAGTTGAAAAAGTTCAGAACGTAACCTTTGAAAATGTACGCAGTGAGGTAATTGTTTTGGGTTCTATGAATTTCTCGATCGGTCAAATATTTACATACACGATTTATAAGCTGATAAAAAAACAAAATAGTTCTTGAAATAAAGTTAATTTGAAGGCTAAATAAATTACCGGGCTGTAAGTTTTTATAAGAATAATGGTACAGAAACAATTATAAACTCTCATTATAAAGAGCAGGTGATCCACCGCCGCTGTAACTTGGTATTTTAACAAATAATACATGATTAGATGTTCCGAAAGTAATATTAACGCTGTTGTAATACCCAGAAGAAGCACCTAAGAATAATTATTTCAGGTTAGTGTTAAGTTAGAAATAAATCGGTTGAATTTTCTGCAATAATTACAAAAGCTGTAACAGTGATAAGCGATTCAACTATTCTAGGAAATCTCATCTTAAAAGGCGTGTAATGCTCTTCAGTTTGAGTGTACTTATTGTATTTTGTATACGCTCGAACGCGAACTTTATAATTAGCCCTAAAAAAAATTAATAAACATTAAAACAACATCAACGAATAACTTAATATTTTTTACATTTCATCAATTTGTGGTACGCAACTGTTTAAATTCCATTTATACTGCCAAATACATTCTGCGCGATTCCACAATTTCACAAATAGCGAAGCTAGAAAGACAATATAATACGATTAATATTCTATATTAAGAACATTTTAATTATGAAAAGGGAACAGACCCCACAATGTCATAAAAACAGCCAAAACCACTGTGTAGTTATTATCCAAATAATAAACTGTTTTTGCTACAGAACAATAATCGCTCAATGTTGTATATCCGCAATGTTTATCCGTGCATGTTGGGCATATTGTTTTATTTGATTCACATATTTCGTTTCTATAACATTTTTTTTTTAATTATTTTGGTTATTTATAACTAACTGTGCTTAATTATTAGATTAATACATTGTAACAACATATTTATTGATTTAGGGTGGATTCTTTGGAAATTTGACATAGAACACTTAGAATAATACAGTTTCTATGGTTCATTCCTTACTCATTTCGTGTCCTCTAAACTGTTAACAATTGTAGTCTTTACACATGATTATAACTCAACGCATATACAATCATATATACCGGGTGATCCATTTAACGTGAGACAAGCGATTATCTCGAGAGATTTTTACGTTGAATGAAAAGTTAGATGAAGCTATGCTGAAGTTGGATGACTTAGAACAGTATACTCGGAATGATAACTTACGAATCTACGGAATTCCTGAAGTAAATCGGAAAGACACGGATGCAACAGTAATTAACATGTGTTCGGAAAAACTAGGTATGAGTTGTTTCGAAATTTATGATGTTATTGTGGTGTCTGATTCTTCTATAGTATTGGAATCTGGGGTTCTCCATCCTGAGATCTCTGATCATGAAGTGGTTTTTTATCGATTTAGCTGTGCAGTGCTTAAACCATCTTCGTTTTCTTACACATACAGAAACTTCAACTCATTCAATTATGATTCCTTCGTTGCTGAATCAAGCCTGATACCATTTCAGGCTATATTTGCAATGTCCATTGATGATAAATTAATGTGCTTTAATGATCAAATATTGAATTTGTTTGACACTCATGCTTCAGTGATTACAGTTATAATTTCGAAACCTAGGAAACCTTGGATAACGGATAATATTAAGTTGTTACAAAATTTGAGATAAAAATAAAAAAAAATATAAACGTAGCAAGCAAATGTCTCATTGGGAATATTATAAACAATTGAGAAATTATACTAATTTTGCTATTGATGCTGAAAGGAAAGCATATTTTGAGCATTTACACAAATACTCTAATCAAAAAAGAATTTGGCATGTGTTAGGGACTGTCGTATATTGCGAATAAAAAACAATAGCCTTCCAGTTCATTTAAGAAACGTAAATGAAATAAACTCAGCATTTGTATATAATGTTCCAGATAGTCAATGCTTTCAACAATATTGGGTCTGTATTTCGACTTCGATCTGTGATGAAGATACAATTTTAGGCTTAGTGATGAATATGAATGATAGCTCTGTTAGTCATGATGGTATATCTATGAATATGTTAAAATTTACACTTTTGCTTACTTTACCATACATGTCATATACTCAATTGTTGTATCGAGGAGAAATATTTTCCTTCTTCTTGGAAAATGGCGTATGTAATCCCTTTGCCTAAAAAAGATACGCCTGTAACATATAATGATATTCATCCTATTGGCATCTTGCCTACTTTTAGCAAGATTTTGGATAAAATAATTAGCGTTAAATTATGAGAACATTTAGTACATTACAACATTTTGCCTGAGTGTCAGTCAGGTTTTGTACCTAGGCGTAGTTGTACTACGGCTCTTTTGAATATAACAGATGATTTGCTTAGAATTAGGGATCGGTCTGATTGTGCTATTTTGGTCTTTTAGATTTTATCAAGGCATTTGATTCAATTAGGTGTCATCAATCTTTCCTGGACTTAATTAAATCTTATTTAAGTAATAGGCATTAATGTGTTAAATTGGGTGGTTCGGTCTCTAATCCATTGCATGTTAATAAAGGTGTTCCATAGGGATCAATATATGCTGTTTACCATTTATACATCCTTGTTGCATAATTGTTTCAAATATTGTAATGTCCACATGTATGCGGATGACACTCAATTATACTATGGTTTTCAATTTAATGATTATGAAAATGTGGTAAATAAAATTAATTGCGATCTTCACAGACTGTCAGTTTATGTTCGTGAACATTTTTTGTTTTTGAATACGGCAAAGTGTGCTGTTCTTTTGTTTGGAAATGAGAAACATGTTCAGCAACTACTACCACTGGTTAAAATCAGTGTTGACAATAATGTGATTCCTCGTGTCGTGTGATTTCCCTAGTGTCTTATTATTGATAATACATTTCGATATCGGCAGCATATTTCAAGACTTATAGGTTTGAACTTTCTAAACCTGAAGGTTTTGTATCCTTTTAGGAATGTTTTCAGCATCAGGCTTAAGACAATTTTATGTGAAAGCACTGTGCTGTCCAATTTTAATTATTGTGCCCCAGTCTTCGGTCCTTGTCTGGACGTTGCTGACATGTCTAAGATTCAGCCTGTGCAAAATGTTTGTATGCGGTACATTTTCGGTATAAGAAATTAGGATCATATAACTTATAAATTGAAGAATCTTGAATGGCTTAATATGAGGTCTCGTATTAAAATGCTATCACTTACACTTTATCATATAATGATTGTTGGTCGCAATCCACCTTACTTAGCAAGAAAGATTATTTTAGAGGTGACTTGCATAGTGTCAATATTAGAAACGGAAATGTTATAAATCCTCCTAAGCATAGGACCACCCTTTTTGAGAGATCCTTTACCTACAGTGTATATTCTCTATACAACTCTATCAGAGATTATATCAAAGGTAGGTGTATTCGCGACGGTAATGAAAGCTATAACAGTACTCAAACGGGCTGTAATGAGACTCCTTACAGCATTCGATGCTGTAATGAGATTTTAGTAACATTTTATGGAACCAGTTCAAGTTGGTGATATTGGGTCATTAATTTTTCTAGTTGTCAATGTCACATTGTTTGTCTATGGATGTTTAAGCACGTTCTTAGCATCGAATACAAGGTCCACAATGATGAGGACATTGAACTCTGAGCAATTTATCTTATTTTGGGAGGTGTACATGAAACATTTTTATCAGGTAAATACATTTTGTGTTTTGACAGTTTCTAATTGTCAATTTAAATTTCTAGTTTCAAGTGTTACGGTGTTACCAACTGCTACATACCTATTTCCCTATATTGTCAAAATTTATTTTTATTTAGAGAAAAAAAAGGGTAAAAACTCGAATTACAAAAAAATAGCATAAAAAACACGTTTCATAAGACTTAAAGCACTCATTCATTAAATTTTTCAGCTTGAATTCGTGCATTTCAAACGTGTCTTCCGAAACTTGTTTTTTAATATACTATTTCAACACGCAATAATTTTAACATTCAGTAACACCTCGGAAGGTTATTAAATTTATTAAATTTATGTTATGTTGTTTGATACCATTAGGTTCAAATTTTGATTCTTTAAGATCCATAATTTAGGAATAATGCGGAATCTTAGGTTTAAGTTCTTTTTAGGCATTTTCTGACCTGTTTTGATAGCTTCTTTAATTTAAGGTTGCGGTGGAAGAACAGTAATGGTCTTTTGGCCATGACACTGAATCCGCGACCTTATGATTCTTGAACATTTATAATTATTATTTTTCTTTTGTCTTTTTTAAATTTAATTAGCATTAATACAGTTTTTGTATATATGTATTGTTGAAGAATAAACTATTATTATTATTTTAAACATTTTCCTACCCGCTTCGATACATTGTCTTTAGTTCTTAATTCTTAGAATATCATTTTAAGAATGCTCAACAAAAGAAATCCAGGAGAGGTACATCAGGTGAACTGGCTCGTCGGAAATACCTTTGGAAAGAGGTCTAACGCATAAAAAACAAGAGGTCGTGGAACTGCTGATGTCGGCATTTTCGGAATATCGCTTTCAGAGACTTAATTGGTTGAATTGTTTTAAAATGTAACAGGTTTAAATTCTGAATTCATTCCATCGGCATCGTTTTACATTAAGGCAAAGTGTTTAAACTAATTGTAAGTCATTAAATTATGGATACTCTAAGTGTGGCAGAAAAAGTCGAAATGATTTTTATTTATGAAGAAAGTGGCAGAAAAGTTGCTGATAGTATAAATTTGTATCGAGAACGTTTTCATGATCGAAATACGCCTTCGAGAAGTACCCTTTGCACAGTTATGAATGATTTCACTAACACTGGAAACGTGGAATCAAGAAAAAGAACTCGGCGAGCAACTGTAACTACGGAAGAATCTTTTACATATTTTTTAGGTTTTTTTTTGACATATTTACATCTTTTACATATTGCACGTGAAGCTTTAGATCGTGATTATGCTGGGCGATGGATTGGAAGGGGAGGTCCAATTTCCTGGCCTGTCAGATCACCTGATTTAACACCTCTTGATTTTTTTTGTGGGGCGTCCTTAAGGATAATGTTTATCGCGAAGTACCGACTACGCCAGAAAACACCAAAATTACACAAACAAAATATGCCCATAACTTCATTTAATAATTCCCCAACATATAAACTGGCAAATTTCATGTCAAATATTTTCAAAGAATTAAACTTCAAACCTACATACTCTATATCGAATACTAACCAATTGATAAAAGAAGTTAAAAACATAGATCCTACAAATAGATATTTGATTTCTTTCGATGTAGTGAATCTATATTCTAATATAGAATTAAATAAAACAAAATAAGTTAACTTTGCACTTGCGTAAATATTTTAATCGGGACCGGTTTCGAAGTTTACAACTCCATCCTCAGCCGAAAATGTCAATAGGCGAAGCTAACAGATGTAATCATTTTAAAAAACGTTTTGAAATGATGAAAAATTTTGAAAAAGTGAACAAATTTAAATTTTATACAATAACCAGAAAAATAACCGAAGAAATTTATTTAAACAACATATAGTTACACAAAATTATTGCATTTTTATGGCATGCCTCTATCTGGCATACTCGCCGATATATTTTTAGACTATTTTGAAAACCATCATATCATGAATACCAAAAATCTTTTCAAAAAGCATATAGTTAAATGGATAAGATATGTGGATGACGTTTTTTGTATATGGGAAGGTAATCTTTTTCTAATTTTTTGTATCTTAAAATAAGCTATATTGAAAACAGATTGAATTTTAATATTTATAGAAAACCTAGTTCAGTTGATACAATAATTCCATATGATTCTAATCACCCCTTATCTCATAAATAAGCGAGTTTCAGGTATTTTATCGAACGAATTTTTAATTACCCATCTTTGATCTAGCAAAAATTAATAATTTTCCTGAAAAAATAATTAAAAATTTAATTAATAAAATTAGAATAAAACATGATCCTTTATTTTCCAAAGATAAAGAATCTAAAAACTATAAACCCATTCCTTTTAACTCTATAACAGCATCAGGTAAAAGAATTTTTCAGAAATATAATATAAATCTTGCACTATAATAATTATAACATTAATAAAGAGAGTGATGTTTATCAGATTAACTGCTCTGAATGTAATAACATGTACAGAGGGCAAACTGGCCGAAAATTGAAAAATAGAATAATGGAACATAAAAATAAAACCAATTTTAATATTTTTAAACATAAAATTGAAACAGAACACGAGAGCGATTTTGATAATGTAAAATTATTGCATAGATGTAACAAAGGTTCTAAATTAGATCTTTTGGAAGCTCTGGAAATTAATAAATATACTAAAAACAAAAAATATGAACTTCTCAACGACCAGTTGGATATTAAATTCTTTTGGGTTTTTATGGCTTCTTTTTCTTTATATATTTCGTTAAAAGGTTATTTGTGTCTTAAAATTCTTTTGAAACCTGTTTATTTTATAACAGAAATCTTATTATACTGCACTTTATATCTTGTTATGTCCAATGTATGTTCGAATTGCAGATTTTTAATTTAATAAAATTTTTGTGTGTGGCAATTTTAATATGTTATAACTTATATTTGTTTAAAATGTTTACATTGTATTTCGTGTCTCCATTTTGTAAAGACTATTTAATTATAAATTTTATTTTTTATCTTTTTAATTTTGTATCGATTGACTTATTTAAAGAATTTTTGTAATTGTGATTTCTTGGTCATGTATATTCGGCTGATGATGACCTTATAAATTAGGTTAAAACCGGTACCGAGGAATTGAATTAAAATATAGCAAGAAAGAAGTTTACATCGTATTATTTTATTTAAATTATTTAATTTAATCTTGCAACATGGATTTTACCCATTTAAAATCTTTTAAGATGTAAAGAAAGTTTTAGTAGAAGGGTTAATAAATGTATTGAAGTGGGTGGGGAAATATTTGAACATTTATTATAAATTTTATACTTGTTGTTGATTAATAGTATAGTTTAATCATTTTTGTATAAATAAACAATATTTAAAACTATTTGAATAAAAGAATTATTTAAATTTTGTCTAGAAAAGATGTTTCGCCGTCGTACTGGCAAAACCACACGGTAATTTTTTTTTATTATAATTATTTTACTTTTATCCATAGATTAAGATTTTGCAATCAAAAACATAGGCTGTCTTTTAACAAATTGGTCGTGACCTTCATATGACTTTGAAAATAAAGTCAAGGTCAAAAAATGTTATCGTCATATGGTAAAACAACTTTCATTCATGTTTTACATACATACATGTTTTCACAAACATCATTTTCGAGATAATCGCTTGTCTCACGTTAAATGGACCACCCTGTATAATTTATATTTACGTAATTTAAAATGATAACTATACTTACACTCTACGAACAGGATGGAGCAATGGATGATTTAGGTCACAATAAGACATACATATAGCGAATAATCCCAGAAAAGCTGGAATCAACACCAAGATCGTATAAAATTGCAACCATGCGTAAAAGAATGCTATTTCTGATCCATAATATTTATAAATAATATGAATCGGTTGCAGTTGATAAAACTTATACCAACTCGCCCAATATTCAGCTAAAACCTGTAAAATATTTTTTTAGCTAATATTAAAAAAAAAAATGCCGATGGGGTAATATAAATGCAAATAAGATAAATAAAAAAAATTAACTTGTCTGTCGTTTAAAGGTCCAGATTCACTCCATTTCAGTGGACCATCATGTAAAGGATAAGCATCGTCAAAATTTTTGTTCGCTAATAAATTCCCCAAACCATACTCATCCGTTAGCCTACCGTATTTTGTTCTTTCTAAAACGCAGCTAATCAACGTGATTCTTTCGGCGCTTGTAAAAGTTGTATTTATATCTCCTCTAACAGAATTACTAAAAAAAGAATTAAAAATGTTTTGATTAAAATTTTGAAAATTAAAAAACCTGCATCTCCGAAACATCGGGTCTTGAAGTTTTGGTTTCAAAGATATCTTAGATTTAAAAAAACTAAACCATTTCGAGTAACTCGGAATCGATCTGTCGCGATGATACGTTGGGAATAAACCGTGCACCGTAGCAAGATGGTTTAAAGATTCATCGGTAGCTGTGAGCTTAATAAATATGCAATCGGTATATTTGATTCCAGGAACAACTTCGATGATCAATCCGGCTTTTTTCAAATTTTTCAGGAACTGGTTGGTTTGAAAAACGAGCGCGTCAGATATTTCAGTTTTTTGGACCAAAATGAAATCGGCGGGCGGTCTCACTTCCGGTTCAAAAGTTACACCAGCTTTACTCGCTTTATCGGTAGTCCCAGGATTGGAAGTAGTAGCCATTTTTCTTTAATAATTCTTTCTCTTTAAAATTTCTTTTTATTGTAACAAATCATCATTTTTTGTGACATTGAAATATTTGTCAATTTTATTGGTTGATGTCAGTTGATGTCTTTCTCAAAACTTATACATTACACAGACTATGGATGACAAATTGTAGGTTTGCATGTTTGGTATCAAAAACGATTTTGTGTATTTATAAACAAGGATACATACAACGACATACCTGTAAAATAAACTCTTCTAAACATAACCATAAACATAAGAAAAATTGATTCTTTGGACTTTAAGAAATATATTATTTTAAATAAATATCTCTTCTTAAATCCTCTCGCGCCATTCTACAAAAATTTTGAAATTGACTACTTTCTTCTTGTTCTTGCATATAATTCGCTGCATTAAATTTGTCAGCCACCAACGTCTCTTCCTTCTTTTCTTTTAAGCGTTTGAGACAAAATAATAAATGCAACACTTGCATTTATAATATTGCTGTCAGAATCGTACATAATCTATCAACCACAGAATTCAAATGCAAAAAGTTTTGAAAAATCACTTTCAATTCTTGAGAAATAAATTTTTCAAATGAACGACAATTTTTTCGAATTTTGCAATTTTCGCCGATTAAGTTTTAAAAATTCGTATAAAATCGATTTCTTGGAATAT